CTAAGTCTAGAAGGTATGAATTGACTAAAGCAGGTACGTCAAGATGTGGTACAGATCCTATGTAACCTCTAATGAGTTCTTTCTGATGTTCAAAAGGTTCAAGATATCGGTCCTGTGTTACCAATGCAATAATTCTATAAACTTCGTTTAAATCTGCTTCAAACGAATATCTATAGCGGTTAGGGCACGGTTGTTTTTCACAGGGTCTTGCAACACTGTCGACGTCACAAAAGTTCTCTGAGTCAAAGAGGTGAAATTCGGAATTCGTACACGCTAATGAAGCCAGAGTACAACGTTACAAACTATGTAAAGAAAAGTCATAAAAGTTCGTCAGAATGCGCTACGTGATGGTCGTGACTCGAAGCAGAACGAGAGAGAGATAGAGAAAATATACAAGTACACTACGGACTACGCTAATGAAAATGACCGTTTGTAAAAGTATAAATGTACACATCGCAATATTTTATAATATACAGTGCGCGGTATAGTTCGATTTGCAGAGAGTCCGTTCAAAGAGAAGACGATCCAGGCTCTAAAGAAGGCTCGAGCGCAGCGGGCTCGATCTTTACCTCCTTCATTTTGCCTTTAAATTCTTCCTCCCTATGAAAGATGCTCATCCAGTCTTCCTTCTTCTCCATACGTCTCTGAGTCAGCCAGACCAGCTGGTGATCGCTAAGATGATCGCGACCATTGAAGACCTCCATCGCTGTGTGAAAGTCTGCAACTGAGATAAAGTACGTGTTCCAGATATTATCACAGTCCGGCCACTGTCCCCTCTTGAGCATGAGGTAAATCCGGGCACAGGCTGTGATCTCCTTGATCCGCTGAGACTTGGCAAATTCTTCCAGCTCCTCGACCATCTCACGATAGTGCTCGCATTTGTTGCCCATGCTCACGACCATTGTATCAACCAGTCCCCTAGAGCGTAAGCACAGCTCATTGGGCGTAAAGTTGGGATGGTTAACGTGTTGCATGGCGAGGATGGAACAAACTTGCTCCGGCCTGAAAACCTCCCCCTTTGGTCCATCCACGCCATAAACCATACCACACGAATAGACAGGCGAAGCCGGCCTAGTGTCTGTACGATCAACGTGGACCCAGTCGTCGAATGAAAAGGTGGGAATGACTGGTTGGGGAGCGTATACCGTTGGCCATGAATCTTCAACCTGTCCCTCCTCCTGAGTAGTGGAGGACGGAACCGGTGTAGGCTCGGCAGCAGAAGCGGCCTGGACTACTTGTTCTGAAGAATCATGAGAAACTGGTGAACTGATATTTAAACCGTTCATACCATCAACGATATCCGGAATGTCCGGTGTAGGCGGATTGACCATTGTAGAAGAAGTCTGTGGAGATGCAAAATTATTTAATGCTTGGGCAACCATGTCCCAAAGCGATAATCCTGCACTCACAAAAGGCGGTGGCATTGGAGTAGGATGACGATGGGGATGAGGGTGCGACGGCGACGCAGATCGGCGCGGAGGTGCAGCATTAACCCTGGAAGAACTTTGGGTTTGATGCGCCCTGATTTCCGCACTGACATTGCGAGGCCTTCGTCTATACAAGTCCAATTCCGCCTCTCGATTGGCTTCATCGATAATACGATTAACCTCTCGGAGGTGCCTTTGCCTGTCACTCTGCCTGAACCTGTCCCAGCCATGACGACCGAGAAGGCTGTATTCCATCGATTCCATGCGCCGAACTCCATCCCTGTCAACGTAGTTGACATTGATCCTGGCATCCTGAGCATCGGTTTGACTCATACGGATAGAGATGGGAGTTGCTGAGCTCCTTATCTCCATAACGATGGGGTGACCCATACGGTCAAACCGAGTGTAGTCATGAACGCGGTAGGGATCATTGGGAGAATGGGGAGCGAAGCGGGCATTGACGCGACGGGAAGTGCGGCGAGAGTTGTTCGGCATCTTCAAAAATATAATGGTCTGGAAGAAAGAATCGAAAGTATAAGATTTATGTCGTCGTATTCAATCCACAACACTTTCCTTGAGAAAGTCCTGGGGATTGCTAATGGAAAAGTCGAATGTGAGTAAAAGTTTTCCACAAGTGATTCAAGACGAGTATGACCACTTGCAACTTCGACTTCTACCAGTCGGTATGATACGACAAAAACATAATGGCGCATGTAGGAAACACCACGAAGTATTGGAGAGTCCACAATCTCCGTGATACCAAAAGTAAAAGTGGACGACATGCCTCAAGAAATTCTACAGCTACAAAAAGCGGCGATTTCTAATTCCAGGACTGACTGACGTGCGCCAACACGAAGGTCCTAGGCCTCTAAGTCACGAGCTTAGAGTGCCACTCAACTCTACCCTCCTATTGTACTACTCCGCCGATCTACCACTTGTACAAGTGGGAGCTTGTTCCTCCACCACCGGATTTTACACTGCGTGTTAGGCAGATTCCGCGTAATGCACGACTCGTTAAAGTCGAGAACCACCAAGGGTGGCTTAAGTATTCAGCTGGGTTGGGAGTGCGTACGCAAGGGGCAAGTAGGTGAGGGAATTAGCTGTAGAAGATCAGTTGGGAATATTGTATTCGAAGCTGAGGCAGTCAACCAGTACAACTCTACTACTACTATGTGGCCAAACAAAGTAAAGTAGAGAAACTTACTTATAAGAAAGCTTGGGGAATACTGGTTGATGGATGTCGTTGAGAGTGTGGATGTAGTTAAGTTAAAAGCCGGGGCTCATAACCTAACAAAGTGGAATATGTGTGCGAGGGGTAGAGGCTGTTAAGCTTCGAAGATGAGTCTTATTATTCTTGCTGCTTCAGCAGCTCTGCTTATATACATGTCTGTATCTACTTATGTAAGCGACTACTATACATGTCTACTTCAGCTATTCTACTGTACTACTAAGTGCATGACTCATGCATGACTCATGCTATGAGTGCATGACTCATGCATGACTCATTGTATGACTAGGTTCAGCACTTGTACCAGAGGCGTACATAATGAGTAAATGACTCATGCTAGTACTTGTCCTCAGATGTATGCTTTAGGCATCCTCTGGAGTCATATGTGCTTTCCATGTCATTTCCTATGCTACTAGAACACAGGCGTACATATATGACTAGTACTACTACAACCCATATCTGTACGTCTCAGCTAATGTGATGGTTACTACTAGAGTTTCCATATACGGCTGCATAATTCCCATACTAAGACTGTGGGAACTCTGCTACCTAAAGCGTCCTTATAATAAGGCGTGGGAAACTACATATCATATCATATTATTATATTATATAGTTTTAACACTTTGCACGTCTATTAAAGCGCCCGTATCACGTGGCTTAGACGCTCCACACGGTCACATTACTTGCTACTACGTCACACTGGCATGTGACTTAGCTTAAGTAAGACCACATGGCTACAACCACATGGCTCAGCCCATAGCTAGGGTTTGACGTCATAGATACCGTTCACATGGACTCCTTATTGTTCTTTCCCTATTGTTCTCTTTATGGAAGGATGTTCTCACAGGTGTGGGAATGGAATACAATAGTTGGTCTCCTTTTAGATAGATTCTCTCACGAGTAGAGTTCTTGGCAAGGTCTAGACAATAGCTATTGTTCTCCTTTAGGTAGTTCTTTTGTTCTTCGTTCACACGGCTTCTTGCAAAGCCTGCCCTCAACATGGTCTGTGCGCAGGTCCCTGAAGTCTATATATACTGCTACATGTACGCTCCTAGCCCCCATCTCGACCTCTTGGTCTTTACTGGGCTAGGTAAGCAAACCCCCTCTGTACTACATAGCTGGTAGTACCCAAATACTAACTTGGTCTTTACTGGGCTAGACAACTTGTATAAAGTCTGATAGCTGGTGAGAGCACTGTGCTACACGCCTGCCACCACCTCCTCGTCGATATCCACTTCGTGTCCCTATCTGTCACGTCGAGCCTTGTCTCCGTGTCACTACCGTGGTCTAAGACTACCAAACACGCTGGCCTCGTAGTGACGGTCACAGAAAACGGCGAACCGACTTCCCCAATCCGCGCTCTCGCCCATCACCTCAAATGCAATTCTAAGGTACCCATCAATCTGGTGTAACCTTACTGGTCTGTTTGAAGTGATGCATCCCCATACCATTACATTTCTGCCTCCGTGCTTTACCATCTTCTGCACCTTCTGGTCCAAAAACTCCTCACCCTGTTTCCTCTGACAGTATTCCCTTCCGACTGAGCCGAACAAGTTAAATTTTGACTCATTGGGCAATAGCATTACATCCCACTTTTTTGATCCCCATTTTGCTGCATGTCTGGCTCACAGTTTCCGCTTCCGTTGTGAGTGGCAGATAGATATGGTTACTTCCTGTGTACATATCCCTTCAGACCATTCTCTACAAGGTTATGACACATTGTTTGGGCAGAATTTTGGGGAAATGCCTTCTGCTGCAGGTTTGTAGCATTGTGTGCCTCTCGCCGTACCAAGAGTAAAGTGGCATGACAGAGATTGTGGTCTTGTGAAATGCAATGACAACCTGTCTTTGGCTTTTGCATAGAAATTGGGGTTATTGATAGATTTTTGATGGTGTGATAGATGGGAGACTGGCAGACAGGGACTTTCTTGTGGATGTCAGAGATCCTGGCACCTTCATTATATAGAGTCTAAATCCAGGCTTTTTTGGTAGGGGTACACTGCACCATAGGTGTGGTATAGAGCTGGGAAAGTGCGTAGTGTAAAAAAAGCAGTATTTAGAGGTTCTGTGGTGAACTCTTGCACAGTAGAGTCAACCAATGTGTGGTGGTTGGCTTGCGCGTGGTGGGCACTTAACACTACTATCACACACATTGTATACAGTCTCTCATGCACACAATGGCTTAATGCAATTCCACCAGGAACATAATTTATACCTGTTATACAATGTGCGATAATTGATAAAAATGAAACTACGCAGTGATGAGTTCGTACAACGAGAAAAACGTTGCACACTCGCGGTGTCGCAAGACTTTTCGCCGCTACTGTAAGTGTGAGCAATAAAAGCTGCCCCACTGAGGATCGAACTCAGGACCTTCCGATGACCGCTCACATAACAGTCGGACGCTTTAACCATCTTAGCCATGGGGCACATGATTCATTGCCGTTTAAAATCAGCTATAATGAATTGACACCGCTACTTATAGCGACGCGCACTCCTCACACTCATCCACACCTTGCTTTGAACGCCTTTCTGTCCATCTCACAATATGGTAAGTGCCAATCTTTGCTTGCACCACTGAGTTGTTTTTAATTCACAATTACCAGGAGTCTTCTCTCCGGATAGTACCTGCCTCTACACCAAAGATCGCTTCAATTCAAGACACGGCCAACAGCCTCGGTCTTCATGACACGCTCTCATACGGACCACGCAGCCTTGCTGCAGAAGTAAAGAGTCACAGCACAATTAAAGACAGACTAGAGAACGTATGGGCTCATCCACGTTGAGCTTACATCTTGTGGCACCGTTGACGACCTCTTTCGATTGCAGTGGGAGGCGACCCAGGATAACCTCAAGCTTACGATAGAACGGAACGTCTATGGCTTGCATGCGCCCATGAGACTGCTCATGGAGCGTAAGATGGTTGGCCATGTACGTAATGTCATTCTTGCACGTTGACTGTGAGTTGATGGGAACCTTGTGTTGTAGAATCCTCATATGCCAGCTCTGCGGACGACCAACGTACATCTCGATATCCTCATGGGCCGGGATGAGTTTTTGGAGCCTGGGGACTTTATGATGCCAGGTACGCCCTGATGTGTCGACATGACTGAGTGGGTTCCGCTTGCTGAATTGGTTGTAGCGTCGGAGATGACACCGTCGATGGATATTCATGCTGATATGGAGAAGAAGCTGCGTATGTAGGGACGAAGTAGTCTCGGGCACTCTACTGACCCGACGTCCTCTGTATACCATTTGCCTTTGTAATACAACGACACCCCAGAAATGTAGTGCAACTCGAATTGCTAATCCTGCTTTTGGATTGTAAGTGGACGAATGCTCAAGATTTACCTACCTTTCGCTCTCTTAGTTAATCCACGGAGGTACTTATGCACTACAATTCGGCCTTCGTTCATTATCACTGCGTATCCCTGGAGTGTATAGCAATCTGGTTATCCAGGACCTAAGTGAGAAGTATCCCCGACTCTGTCCTCCAATCAACACCCTCACTGACCCACAGACCCTCCTCAACCACAAGTCTCGCGCTCACCACACAACCCTCCAGAAGCGGTATCCCCCCATACGCATAACTACCACAAAACCACACCCCAGGAAACCTCTCAGCGTCATATCTCCCTCCAGCCCCTTGCAAACTCCCCAAACTACCTCTCGCCACTGCCGCACAGCCCCACCTCAACGTTCCCCGCTCTTCCTCCAAAGCTACTTTGTCCTTCTGCTCACCTTCACGCCACAAGCCGCGAAGAGCATTCTTACTCGAGACAGTGACAAAGGCACGTTCGAGACGCGCGACACTCAGCACGCTTTCCTCCTCGATCTGCACGATCGGGTTTGTCGTTTGGTACACCAATTGATGGGTCCCGGGGAGGACATGCGTTGCCATCACAAACGTAGGTGGCATCGTCGCAGACACGGGAGTGTCATCCAGTGCCTTCTTGACGAGTGTTATAGGTCCTGGAGCTCGGAAAGAGGCGTGGGTCATCATAAGGTTTAGGTCCCGTCTGTCTGTTTGTGCGTCAGGCATGAGAGTAGGGTCTGTGTGGTTCACTACGATGTTCGAGGAATACTGGAACGAGGCGAGGCAGGCTATTTGCTGCTCTACCAGATCTCGGTGTCGGTTGGTGGCTGAAGCTGAGTCTTCTGGGATGCTGTCTAGGTAAGTCTTGAGGATCCTGGAAGCCTGGTTTGCTTGGGTGGCGAAGATGACGTGGTCAAAGGCAGGGAAGACGGTGTTGTTTGTGCAGTGTATGTCTATCTTTGCGAAAGGATGGTCGGAGAGAGCACTGAAGTTGGTGTGGACGAGAGAGACAATGGGCGAGGCGAGGTGAATGTTCTCTCGCTTTAAAGGCGCAGATATGCGTTCTACAACGTCGCGGACCCCGTCTTGAACGACATAGTGGTGCGTGCCGATTGTAAGATAACAATAATCTGGTTGTTTGTTCGTCAGCCGCCCGCGCATATTAACCGTGTAAGACAAGAACTAATTTCGCACCAAGGAGCTCTTCAACCGGATGCTCCCATACAGATTCTTCCGGTATCGTACACACCGCAGAGAATAGCGGTATTAATATGTCGTTGGCGAACTCCACCCAACACTTGTCCAGCCCGACCCACTTGGAGAGCGCACTCTGCGGGGTTGTCAAGCGGACCCAGTCACGAAACGTTGTATGTGGTGGAGGGCGGACAGGAATTGGTAGCATGTAGCGAGGTATGCGCATCCTTGCAGGATTTTTGAGCAAGCCCCCGGGATTGATTGACAGTAATATAGAGCCTAAACTGGGAGGGTTGGTTGTGCGTATGGGGAGGGAAAGCAATGCCATGCGCAATGAAAACAGCAGAACGACAAGGCCGGATATTGCATAGGCGGCGTAGGCGAAGCACGTATCCCATAGGGTCCTTGAGGCAGCGTGTGACGAAGGAAAGTACGAGGCAGGGACACTGAGCCCATTCCGTCCTGACGCTCCGTCGTATATCATGAACGTCGTGATATTCCTGTTGGACGCGTCCGCGTTTTGGAGTGTGCTAACGGCGGAAGAGACAGTGGCGAAGGAATACGTGAAATCCGCCTGGCGAAAGCGGACTCCGAGATGTTCATAGAGCGCTATGAGCTGAGGATAGTAGCCTGAGATGAGTTCAGTATGCTGCACGGGCGGTTTGGGGTTTGTGTACATACCGCCTTGGAAGGAGCGCATCGGTACGTCTATTCTTTTCTCCGTCGTCGAGTCTTGGCCGGGTAGTGTGACGTTGACCGAGTGCGAGTCCATCCCCAGCGACGCAGCCTGCGGATTCGAAAGTCATGGTCAGCAAGGGTCCTGTTACGCACAATTGACTCGCTGTTCATCTCGGCAAGCTGAGCAGTATGTGAACGCCAATTTCGGACTAGCCTCGCTGATGCTGCAACGCGTTGGCTAGACAGACGAGCAAATATTGCGTTGGACTAAGCCACGTATGTATGCAACCAATGGCGAGCAAGTTCGGAGTGATAGAGTTGAGAAAGAGCTGTACGCACCTTTTCGAAAACGTGCACCTCAAACTCTACGTCTCCCATGCAAGGTGTCTTTGCAATTCTGTATGCTGCTGTCAGACCGGCCAAGCCACTGCCTACGACGGCTACCTTGACCTTCCGTCTTGTCATGTTTTGGGTTGCAAGGTCGAATGGGTAGGGGAGATTTGGATGCCACCGTAGCAACGACCGCTGCGCTCAGCCTAAGAAGTCTGTGAACGTTGGGATAGTCACTTGCACGCGCAGTGAGAACGGCAAACGCGAAGTTCCTAAGCCAAAGCCAAAGTCGTGTGCCACGGCGATGAGACCGTCAAGATGCTCGATATCTGGGTGTTCGGGTGCTCATCTCTCCGTTGTCGTGAGTACGTGGCCGATAGCGTGCGAGGTTGGGGATGATGCAGATGTGCTGGGACAAATGGTGCAGTGATTGCGCGTATACCAGGCTGAGAGGTTGTCGACTATTATAGTAATTGTATGTAAGATCGCACTACTGACGGTATATGAGTGGAAAAACACGACTATCATAGCCCAAAGAAACCAGAAACTAGGCATCGACAGCAATCCGCCGCCGTTTCTCGTCTCTGGCATAATCCGCTGACCGCTCTCTCGACCGTCTCCTCCCATGCCGCCGTTCATCTTTCGTACGGTCCCGGCCAGGGGAAGGTCGTCTTTGGCTGTCATCGTCCCGCCTCTCGGTGTACCGCTCCCGCTCGCGTTCAGAGTCCCGTCGTCCACCACCGTCCCTATTCCGTTCTCTGTCCCCGGCGTGTCCACCGTCTCGTCCTCCTCCGTAACCGTTACTACCGCCTCGTCTGTCATCTCGCAAGTCTTGCCTACCACCGTCATCGCGCTCCTTCCAGGATCCTCTCCGTTCGCCGTCCTCGCCATTCCTGCGCGGACCCCACTGTCTTGTCCCACTCAAGGTGCTATTCGCTCCCGTCCCAATCCTGTTTGGCGGTATATCCTGATTTTGGGGGCAGTCTACATAGGTATTAGTATTGATGCACACATGGGCATTCTCGTTTATCCCACCTTTCTTCAAGTGAGGTCCACCGCACAAGAAACATCCCCCTCCGGCCGTCGAAGTACCCCCAGACTTGACAGGAGCTGTACCACCACACCCACCTGTCGGCGCCGTAGTATCTTGATCCAACAAATGCGTGTACTTTGTGCGACTGCGCTTCCCAAAGTTCTTCACTTGCATGACTTTGGGAAGCAAGGAAACGTCCACTGTGGACTCTGTCGCTTCCGTATAGTCGTGTCGCTTGAGAATCTCTTCGTCCTAGAATCGAAATCAGCGCAGACACAACGAGTGAACACTGAGAACAGACATGCCTGGCGGAAGGCACCTTTATGCCAGTACTTTTGCAAAAACTTCTGTTGTCCCTTCGGCTTCTCAGCGCGACTCTTCTCAGCATGCTCCATATCCTCCTTGAGCCTCTGCTCCTCTGGCAGTGCCCTCCGCCTCTCAATCTCTTCTCGCTCGGTCTCCCGCCGTAATTCTTCCTCCTTGTCCCGCTTGATGCGTGCAAGCTCTCGGAGCCGCCATGCCTCGAACTCTCCCTCTGGGTCCAAGCCATCTGTGTCGTCGACGTCGGGCACTTCAGCTTCCTTTTCCTCTGCTCAATAAATTCGTGTTAGTGTTGAACAACGTGTGTGAAACAGCGCAGATGACTGACTTTCAGCAAGTTCCCGCCGTATGCTTTCAGCAACCATGTTATGGCTTTGTTTCCGTCGCTCTTCAGCTTCGGCTTCCTTCCGCTTTGCAGCTTCTTCTGTGTCTTGTGCTAGTGCTGCTTCTTCAGCGACCGTCACCCGGCCTCGTCTGCAGGTAAACACAATATATTACTGTCAGAACAACATATTTCATGCATGAGAACGTACTTTGGTACAAAGACTGGCCGGAACT